ATGAATACTTATATTTTCCCCAACTACGACCTTTTGATTGTATCAAAGCCAACAATAATTTCATTGCCTTTTTATTGTTGTTTTGACTACCTTACGAAATGTGCCTGCTCGCAAAAAGTTAAACTGGGTCCCCTTTGCTTCATTATCTCTTCGCTGTATTAAAAGTTTTCACGTGTTGTTCTAGGGGAAGGTTGGAAGGAGATCAAAGATTCAACTAATGGCTTAACTAACTCGGGGTTTCTGCAAGTTTCGGTCGGAACGAACGCCGTTTGGGCTTTAGGACGAAACCGTAAGGTATGCTAGTTTATTTATTATTGTGTCCGCCAATGAATGTTGCTATTGTGGTATTTCTACAACGCAAAAATCTTAAGTAAAATAAGAAAAGCGTAGGGAACAAACAACCAAGTTTAAAACTGTCCCGTAGTGGTATGGCAGTGGAGACCAGAGGTTAATGGGTTTGTAGGTTGTTATATTCTCTTAATTCCGTAGGCCAATTCATATAGAAGACACTTCGTTTACTTTCATTCTCGAATCCCAAAACACAACAACACTAAAATTCCATAACACCCTTATTAATATAACAAAGCATAACAAAACAATTGTTGCACAGGGCAACCAAAGCAAGGTTCAGCATATTACTCATAATAATAATAATAATGAAGGTTCACTTTATGACATCACTTCCCCTTTTTAAAAATCAGCGAATAAATCTTGATGGTATCGGATCACCATATCTCACCGGTTGACTCCTTACTCTTGTTGATTGACGGCGTGCGTTATTTCCAAGTCTGTGTTCGCGTTCTGCTTGATTTCCTTCTTTGTTCAACTCTTGTTCTATATCACTGTCGAACTCTTCATGCTGATCTACTCTAGCAGGAAATTTCTTGAAATGTGACACATTTCTTGTGATACGTCTTGTTTTGTTCTCTGCGGTAATCATCGTCCCTTTACGTTGGATAACTTTGTATGGGGCTTTATCAAATCTTGATGAGAACTTGTTCTTATACTGTTGTTTCACGAGTACCGTATCTCCTATTGCTATATCACTTTCTTTCGCGTGTCTCTTCTTGTCAATATACATCTTCTGATATTTCTGTGACTTCTCTTCATTTTCTCGAGCGATCTTGTGCTTGTTTATAATACTTTTCCGTTTCAGTATTGGGAACTTTCCACGAATTTGTCTGTTGAACAAAAGTTCGCACGGTGGAACTTTCGTAGTAGAGTGCGGTGTTGTGCGATATTGTAGAAGAAACCTTTGTAATTCTTGCTTCCACGGTTTTCCTTCCACGATCGCTGCTTGAATAACTTTGCCTAGCGGCTGGTTGAAACGTTCGACCTCTCCGTTTGCTTGTGGCCATTTTGGAGTACTTCGGTCATGTTTTATTCCCAATATGTGTAAATAACGCTTGAATTCATCTCCATTGAAAGGAGGGCCATTATCCGTCTGTATCTTGTCGGGAATTCCATGCACAGCAAAGATACGATCTAGTTTAGGTATAAGTGTTGAAGCTTTTGTAGAGGAAACAACTTCTACTTCTGGGAAACGCGAGTAACGATCAATAATGACTACCAGATAGTCACCTGTTGGCAGTGGTCCATAATAGTCTATGTGTAGTTTCTCCCATGGTTTTGTTGGTAATTCACTCAATTGCAATGGCTCTGGTCTGTTTTCTTTACCTGTTGCTTGACAAGCAAGGCAAGAATCAATCGTTGCTTTAACTAAGTCATCTATTTTTGGGAACCACACTTTCTCTCTGATCATAGCTTTTGTTTTGGACAGTCCCTGATGACTTTCATGCGCGATGTCAATTGCCTTTTGGCGTAAAGATAGAGGAATGACTATTCTTGAGCCTCTAAGAATAATATTCTGAGCACCGATCGAAAGTTCTTCTTTGATTGCTCGATATGACAAATCGACCGATTCCCACGCACCTGAGCGAATAGCGGCGCGAAGTTTCTGGAGTTCTTTGTCGCTATTGGTTTCTTTACCAATCTCATGCAGACTCATTGTCTTAGGAACTGCATTAGAAGTTACGAACTTTATGTATTCCTCAGTGAACTCTGTTTCTTTTGATGTTTTAGCAGATGGATGGCGAGATAGGTAGTCCGCAGGCTTATATAAACCTGGCGTTCTCTTTGCCAGGTTTATATTTAATTGTAAACTGATATGGCTGCAAGCGTAAAACCCATCTTTCTATCCTGGCTGATGTCTTAGAGCTTGGCGATCCGTATATGATCTCTAGAGGCTTATGGTCTGTGACAAGTGTGAAAGGTTGACCATATAAAAACAAATGGAAATGTTCAATGCCCCATACTATGCTCAAAGCTTCCTTTTCCGTCTGGGAATAACGACTTTCCACATCTGTTAAGGACCTACTAGCATATGCAATTACTTGATGGTCCTTTTTTTCTTTTGAGCTTTGCGATAAGATGGCTGAAATGCCTACAGGACTGGCATCAACTGTCAGACTAGTAGATTTGTTTATATCAAAGTATCCCATAACTGGTGAAGAGGTAAGCGCTCGTTTTACCTGTTCAAACGCATTGTGATGTTCCTTTTTCCACGAAAAGATCGAGTTCTTCTTGATAAGATCTCTCAATGGAGCTGTAATTGTTGAATAATTTGGGATGTATTTGGAGCTATAATTAGCCATTCCCAACAAACTTCTCACTTCACTTGCATTTTTGGGAATTGAAGCGTTTTGCAAATCCTGAATTCTTTTTGGATCTGGGCGAGTCCCTTTTTCGGAGAATATCTGTCCAAAGAAGTCTAATGTGGGTTGCAAGAATTTGCATTTGTTCGCATTTAACGTGAATCCCTTTTCTTGTAGACGTCGCAAACATTTCTCAAGGGCGATGTCATGCTCTTCCTTGTTGACACCGAAAATAATTATGTCATCTGCTATGTTCTGCACACCCTTGATGCCCTGAAGATTTTGCTGAAGCGAGTGTTGGAAGATTTCAGCGCTAGCATTAATTCCATATGCTAATCTTTTGTAACGATATAAACCGCAATGTGTGGAAAATGTTGTGATATACCTCGATTCCTCTGCAAGAGGTAGTTGGTGATACGCTTGTGAAAGGTCCAGCTTTGTGAAGTACTTCGAACCATTAAGCTCTAGGCTTATATCATTCACTGTGGGTATAGGATATCTAACCCTGTCTATGGCTTGGTTAGCCATCCTCATGTCCACACAAATTCGCACTGAACCATCTTTCTTCGGAACAGCAACGATGGGTGAGACCCATGGTGTTGGCTGATTTTCAGGTACTGGCTCTATGATATCCTGTCTTTGAAGCTCCTTCACAGCGTCCTGTACTTTCTGGCGAATGTGAAATGGGATTCTCCTTGGGGGTTGAGCCTTTGGTATAACCTCTTGATTAATGTTGAGCTGCACTTCAGTGTCTCTGAGTTTTCCTAAACCTTTGAATACATCACGATATTTATCCAGCAAAGTTGAAAGTTTCTCATCTGTTACATCAACGGGCTTAATTGCACTTAGATTCAAGCTGATAAGTCCTAACTCCTGTGCGGTAGCCATGGATAGCAGACATCCTGAATCTTTGCTGCTCACAACGTAGAATGTTGAGACACAATATTTTTGCTTTGTTTCGACAAGAGCTTCAAATTTTCCTTTGAAACAGACGGGCTGTTTTGAACTGAAGGCAAATGCCTTGACCTTGGTTGGACGTAATTCAATTCCCTCTAATTGTTGAAAGGCTGTGTTGTCCAACACGTTGATGGAGGCGCCGGTATCAATCATTATTGATATTGGCTTTCCCGCAATAGAAATTGTTGTTGTAGGACACCCTGTGGATTTCTGTTGTATTGTGTAAACGTATTCATCGTCGCTAGACTGTGTCGAATAATTCAATGGCTTGACTGAGAAACGTTGAGGTTTGTTTGGCCTACCGGATTTCGGTCTCTTGTCCTGAGCTGCACTCCGACATACAGCTGCAAAATGATTCGATTTTGCACATTTATGGCATGTTTTGCCATACGCTGGGCATTGATCCTTTGGGTGTCGTGCACCACCACAGCTTCCACATTTCGGGGGTACAGTCAATTTTTGTTTACCTGCCTTGTTTGAAGCCGTAAACCGATGAGTGTATTGTTGCATGTCTTCTTTTGACTCAATTTCCTTCGCTTGGAATTCGCTCATTTCATCCCTTCTGCCATCAAGTAACATATCTTTTAGCGAATAGTCTGGGTCACGTAACGCTTTTCTTCTAATTTTGTTAGAAATGCCTCCAACAATTATTTGTTCCTCGATTTCGAAGTCGGTATCCGTAAAGGTACAATTGACAGAAAGATGTCGGAGCCGTGTGTGAAAATGATCTAAGGTCTCCCCTTGTTCCTGGCGAGTTTGGCGAAACTTGTACACTTCATACCGACGGTTTGTTTGAGGCTCGAAATATGCAGTGAGTTTATCACGAGCCAGTTCATAATCAGCGGCAGCGCCTGTATCAGGAATCTGGCTGAAAATTTCGCGAACTCGGGAACCTGCTTGATGAAGTAAAATGGCTCGTTTGCGTCCAAGATCTCTTATACCACTGGCAAGAATATATGTGTCGAAATCACGAAGCCATTGTCGCCATCTCGTAGAAAGACTAGCACCAACTTCAATATCTGGATCAAATTCAGGAAGTGGGTGTAGATTTAGACTGAAAGCCATCCTTCATAACATATGCTATGTTATTATCGTTTTATCCTCGTCGCCAATGTTATATTCTCTTAATTCCGTAGGCCAATTCATATAGAAGACACTTCGTTTACTTTCATATTCGAATCCCAAAACACAACTCCACTAAAATTTCATAACACCCTTCTTAATATAACAAAGCATAACAAAACAATTGTTGCACAGGGCAACCAAAGCAAGGTTCAGCATATTACTCATAATAATAATAATAATGAAGGTTCACTTTATGACAGGGGGCATTTGAAAAAATGTATTCATTGATGAGTTTGATAGAAAAAAATCTAAATTAAACCTTACGTTTGCAGGAAGTGTCTGCAAATACTCCAGCCTTTTGCATGTGACTGTTTCGGCATAGCGGGCGATGCCGTAAGAACGAATCGATGGCAGTTTCGACAACATGAATTGGAGAAGCCTGTTTGACTGACTCATATGGACATTTCCCATCAACTCTGTTAGAGACTTCTTTTCGAGGTACTGTTTTCATAAAATGATAAAGTTAGGTGTGAATAACAAATGGATTTACAAGCAAAGTAATTATAGCTGTAGTGACGCCAAAACAGTGAAATTGGGGATCATTAAGAATACGGGAATGGCAAAACTACATACATTTAAAAATAAAATACACAAAGAATGAAAGCGGAGCCACATGTTAAACTGGAACAATCATTCAAAAATACTGAGATGCAACACCGTTTTGTCACTCACCAAAGAGGGTTAACGGAGAATATTTCAAGTGATAACTGGTGTGATAATTCACTGTTTCAAAACTGATACGATTAGCATTTCATTAGAAGGATTAACGTTGCAAAGGCAACTACCTTGCTGCTTGAAGGCTCTTTGACGAAATTGATAACACTTTGCAGAAACAAACCACTTAAAGACGAATCTCCATAAATTTCCCTAAAAACAAAAAAATAATCATATGTCAATTTCCTAAACGTTTTTTTATGTATGTGAATACAGTTGTCTATGAATTGAAAAATCAAGAACTAAGATAACTAATCGCTATGTTTTATAGCATACCTACTCAGCTTCTAGGATAATACAAAAGGATTACAAAAATGACTTATGTGTCGGCTGAAATACTCTGGGTTAATCAAATTGATATTCTAATTTGATTACTTGCTGATACTGGGATTCTTATGTTAGCGATTAAGACAGTTTGGTTTTCCTGATGATATGTCATTATTTACAAAAAAGGAATCACTGTTTAAGTAGCCTGCGGGCAGACCTGTTCAACTTTATCTGGCAGATTATTTTTGAAGAAAACAAAAGGGGAGAAATGGTGAAGAGAGGCGAACAATATTGAAAATCACCTTTCTCAAAACAAAGCAGATTTTATTGGAAACGATCTTTCTTGCATTTGACCGATATGTAATAAAAAGACTTTTATGATATTTTCCTGCTAATCTGGGAGCTTTCTGCCGATCCCACAAATACACAAATTTGATAATTCAGTGGCATCTTTGTGTTTCTCTGTGATATCCATATATTTATATAACATCCTACAAATGATTTTCTAAACTATCCCCTAATTTCAATGTTTGTATATCATTGATAACAATGTATCGAAAATTTCTTTACCTTAAAAGATTTTGCGTTGGTGTCTCATTAGATAAAATTATGATGTCATCAAGATTTGTTTCCAGCAAAGACTGCAAAGGCTTGAGATCTTTCTCTGTCTGTCTCTAAAAATTGAAGAATGGAAATAAAAAAATGATTGAGCGGATCATTTAAAGGCATTGTCTCCGTACAAGTAGCATGCTTTGCAAGAATGATTGGTCTAAACCAATCAATGTCCAAGTATCTTAGTCTAAACCAATCAAATTATAGAAAAGCTGAATTCTTGTCAATCTTTTAATCAGCAATTTTGACGATGGTAAATGCGAACATAATCTATATGGGGTCACGTTGGCAAAGCTATTGAAGTTTTTGCCTGAATTATTTAAAAAAAGAATAAATACGGTATCATCCTTGTTCATGACAAGCATTCAGTTCAACAAACACTTAATGCCTTGCTATGCTTTCGAAGTAAAATAATTGGAAATTCTGGCTAGGAATTTAGAGGTGAATAAATCTGGCTAGGGGGTAGAGTTGTAGAAGTCTGATTGCTTTTGGCGAACAGGGCGTGCTCAACCTGTGATTAAAATCGTTTTGATTAATTTCAAAAACGAAAATCTTCTAATAACAGTGACAACGAAGGCAAACGAGATTTTGAAAAACATTCCATAGGTGACCAACTATCGTTTAGAATAATATTCGAAAAAAGAGTTTTGAGAGATAAATTTACATTTTTAAAGACTAATATTCCTCGGACCAATTGAAAACAAATTTACGGTGAAAACGATGAAAACAAATTTACATGACTTTTAGGCATAAAATGATTGATGAATTCATTAGAAAGCAATTCAATACCTGATAGACCTCTACCAAAATGTTACAGTAGATAAGAACTGCTCCATGTTGAGTGACACCAGATGTCCAGTTCCATTTCTCTGCTTTTTGCCCAAGTTTTGAGCAAAACAGACGTTCCCAGAATTGTTTATTTTCATACCCTAGTAGCTGAAGTATATGACACCAATGCAAGATCAATGTTGGACAGTTCTGTTTAAGTGAAATAAGCGACTGTGAAGTATCTAAAATGCCATTGTACTGCGGGTCCTGATTTGCTGCCACATTCCCCGATTGAACTTGACCAGACGCGGCTAGTGCAATATCTTTGAATCTTTCTGCAACAAAATAGCAATTCCTGTTTAAAAACATTTTCAATATAACCATATAACCAACTTTGTTTCTGTTGAAGTGATTACTGTTATGTTTTTAATTATACTTTTGCAGGTTAATGGCCCAAGCAGGATAAGTCCATACTTTTTTGGTTCGTGTATATTACATTTTTCTGTAGTATACGAACAAAACTGAATTGAATTGAATTGAATTGAATAAATTTAGGCCAATCAAATGAGTTTAAGGCTGAACCTTTTGTGGAACATCAATATGTTGCGAAACTCACCGGAGCTTAGCATTGTTGCAAACATTATAAGCAACTTTTGTGTCAACTTCTTTAAGGTGACCAAGCAAGATTGATCACATACGGTGGAGTAACAATACCGCGCCACCTCGTTGACTGCAACGTTTATAGCATGCAGAAAAAACTTGGCATAGAAATCAGCTGACTCGTTGTCAATGGTGCCGTGATGTGCCTCCGCAGCATCTTCTATTGTTGAAATCAAACCAAACGGGTCCTGCTTTGTAATACCAATCTGTGACAGCCTTGTAAGCATTATCTCCTCGTTGTTCTGGGTGATCAGAACTCTGCCAAGACTCAGCAGCATAGAAAGCCATCTCACCGATTGACCAAGTGATGTCTAGGCGAAATGAAAGCCCGTTTAATGTTGTTATCTACCTACAAGTGACTGGTGCGCATTATGCAAAGTTTAAGTGCTAAAACACGATGCAGAACTCCAAGCTAGACATCTGTCTCAACCCCGCTGTTGCATCTTTCCCCGTTTCTTCCTCATTCAAACGAGTTTTACTTGATCCTCTAGCTTGGCTTCGCAGTAATTAAATCTACTAAACTTCGAGGTATATTCAACTTCATTTTGGCCCATCATAGAAAAAAGAACTTGAAAAGCCATGCTATCACTAGGGAAAACTTTGAAAACGAAAAACGCGGTGTCGCTAGATGCTCTATCTCAGCTCAAGCACTTACTATGCGAATTGGCGCGAACAACGCTTTGAGTATGACGTCAGCTGGGCGAAGTGCTATGTGTGCGAGCGAGTCGAAAAGATGGCTCAAGACGTCGATATGAGCTTCATTTGTCAGATTTATCTGCAAAAGAAAAGCGACAAAAAGTTATAAAATAGAAATCTATTATAGAAAATGAGTAATCTTAAATAACAGAAACAGATAAGAAACATCGTTAATGCCGACCAACTTCTTGAAATAGCAATAATCTAATTATGCTGTCAAAAAACTTGGGCCGAAAAGATACAAGGAAAGTTGACGAGCAAAAAACACACGGAGGTCAGTAGTGTCGAAGATCCATAGGAGACTTAATGGATTGTACAAAACAACACGAAGTCCTGGGGGCTCGAGCCTCCAACCAGTAGCGTAGTGAGAGGAAGACAAGAGGGACTGGACGCCTCCTCCCAATTGCAAAAATCTCTTTGAAAGGGCGTTCTCCGGCGTTCCAAAGAAAAGTCAGTTAATGGTATTGCTAGGAGACGTTTGCTTTGGCCTAAAAGTCGAGTAGTCACAATAAAACTAAGGTCATATATTGTGACTATGGGCGAAACATCATAAAACACTATACTTTGTGAGCATAACCATTTATAACGAAAAATGCATAATCAATTCTCGCATGCTGACAAACTATAGATGTATTGGCTAAAGCGTCATCAGTTACATTATCCAGAAGACATATAATCTAGAGAGAAAACTGACGCCTCCTAACGGTATAAACAACGGGATACAAAGATAGATAAAAAAATGAAAGATAATTGTTTAGTTATCATTAACAGTAATTGAAACAGGTGACTTTGTGAAGTCAACGCTGGTGTAATTACCTCTAACGTTGATAGCTGTGGAAAAACGACGTCAACTATTTGTCGTGAAAACCGCTTCCATTTTTCGTCATCATCCTTTGAACCCTCCAGGATCACAGTCAGCAGCTCAAGTACCTTGCAAAAAAGCAACGAGTTTAAGAAAAAATAGAAGCCTTCCGAGTTCTCTGGATGACATATTGAGCCGGGCATGTTGTTAACCGGGTTAAAAAATGGCATGAAGTCCGGCAGACTTCGAAAAGATTAATTTAAAGTAGAATATAGTCTTGGCAAAAAAAGACTTGTCCTTCGATGCACCTACAAAATCACTTTACTCTGCAAACATATCAATTAAACGATAAAAATAGCATTTTGATTGTTAGATATGAAGAAATATGTGCAAATGTTATGTTCGTCAAAGCAAAAAAATCAGCAGATTTCAAGTTGAGACAAAAGTTTAATTTGTGAGACATTTGTGAGCTTTAAACTTAATTGTGACAGCGAGGTTTATCAGCCAAAGAGAGGCTCACCTGTGGGTATTGTGTCAAACGAAGCAACATTGAGAATGCAACCTCTCTTTGGGTGTCCAATTCTTTGCGACCGTCAGCTCTTGTTTGGTTTTTTGAAATGAATAAGTCGTGTACAACTGGCTTTAATGCGGGAATCGCTAGAAAAGAAAAAAGACAGTTTGTTTCCAGCACAGTTAGTAGTGTCAATGCAAACAGCCATTGTGACATAACGATGTCTTGTCAACAAACGTTGATGCCGAACGACTTTCCTTCTATACCATTATCCTTCCATACACTATTCATATCAGTTTTTCTGAAAATGTTTCAATGTAAATTCTAGCAATCTATAATTTCATTCTACAAGAAAAGATCTTGCACTCAGGAAGGTTTTTCGCATGACTGTATGGGGTTAAAGAATAATTTTCTATATAAGTACTTAATAATGATTGAGGAAGTGCAAAATGGAAAAAAACTACAAGAAAAATATTGATAATTCAGAAAAAAGAGTGCCAGTTAGACACATCAGCTAGAAAGGTAGGCAGTAAGATCTTTACAACCCAGTCAAAGAATTTGGCTAGACACTATTCATCGGCAGTTGGATATAATCAATTTAGAAAGGTAAATCCAGATTTAAGTGACCGAACATCTCAAATGTTGGCTCTCTGATGAGCCTAACAGTTCATATACAATTTAGGCCAGCAATCCCCTGAGAATAAAAAGGAAAGGTGGCCTAACTCTACGAGGCGGTATATGCAGCGTTTTTATTGATCGATGACACCTTTTTTCAGCTGAACTAGGATTCAAGCTTTACGCGCTCCCAAATCAATCTCCATGGTCTCCGAACTAACTGATCTTTCTATTGAAATAAGAATCGATATTTCTGGTCGTCTTGCGTCAGCTGAGAAACCTTTGAGCAAGACTTAGCAATGGCATGCAAGCTTGTTGTGAAAACGTATTTGTGCTGTTATCAAGTCATTTAAAAGATTTCAAATTCAAGTAAACAAGGAATTCTAAAATAATTCTGGAAAATAGAAAGGAACCCAAAGACATTCCTTGCGATAACGGTAAGATATTTTCATAAATGATAATACCATGCGTAGTCGCAGGCTGTCCGCAGGCCATAATCCCATCGCACAGTTGAATGATCTGTGGCATAACGATTATTGGTTTTGCTTGGCTGTATTTTGGCTGGAAACACTCGTACGAAAGAAGAACCAAAAACTGGAACATTTCTGGAATGACCATTGTTGGATTCCTAGAATCGAAAGAGGAAGCGTTAACAGTGAATTATGAGCCACTTGGCTTTGTCCTTAGCTGAAAAGACACTTAAAAGACATTCATAGTAAAATTTCAGGGTTCAACAAGGATTCTTCTGTTTTCGGTAGAAAGCAGCTTTAAAATTTCTACAAGCAAAATGTTATCTATATATTTTTAAAAAAATGATATCAGAACTTTTGGCGATAGGAAGTGTCGCAATGTTTATTTTCTAAACGGGTGATGAGGAATTGCAGTAAAAACTTGGTCTAAAAAGCCCCAGTGACACAAATAGAGGAATAAGATCTAAGCCCTATTCCAGATGTTTAGGCAAGGAAGATCATACTAAAAAAATATGATTAAAAGAAAGTTCATTTGGTAGAAGGGCTTGGAAGTATGCTGTAAAGGAGATTTCTGTGAAAAGCAGGCTAAAAAATGACAGTAAAAGCACTTTTCATGTGATCAGCACTTTTAAAATAATTAGCACTTTTCATGTGATCATTTGTAACAGGCAAAAGGACATTGGCAATACGAACCCAATCTGCCCGGCTTCAACAAACTCGAATTGCTTCAAGACGAACGCAATGAAAATCTGGTCTGCATCCAGCAATGAATAGTTCACCCTCAAGCGGATGAGCTGGTCAAGAAGATGGATGACTTGGGCCTGGACATCTAAGTTGCTCGTCATTGTGTATGTTTTCAGTGCATGTATTACCAATGGCTCGAACAGTCGGATGTAGGCTTGAATTGATGACAGCTTAAATGAAGTATCAAAGAGTTAATCAATAACTAAGATATGCACATGGGTTTTAAATTTGTAAAAAAAGTAAACCACATTATTCTACCAAAGTGCACACTGTTCATTCAGAAATTCCCTAGAATATGAAACCGTGATTTATGATAAATTATTTGAAATACTTCCACTCATATTCAAAATTCCTTTTCCAAGAAAATGAAAATGAAGTTTACACGGAGTACAATGTTGCGTCCCTTGGTAGATTTTTTACTTTAAAAACTGATGTATTTCTGTACTTCACACAAAATAAGCTGTTAAACGAATTTGATATGGTTACAAAAAACTAACTTTAAGGCCATAATTATATTTAGTTGTTCTCAATCTTGTATGATTTTAAAGGCATCTCATTGCATAAAATCAACATAACAAAATCACTTGTCAAGGAACAACAAAAGTTAGAGGCAAAAACAAACGGGAAAGAAGGCTACAAACCTTTTCTTTGCTCAACTTTGAAACTGGCTTTTGTGGGGCAGCTATTTTCTTGAATTTTTTGAAGAAGCTCAAAGTTGACGACCTTTTGTAGGAATGGGAAATCAAATGCAGTTTAAGCATAAAAAAATGAATTTCTATATAGAAAAATACCATCGTTTCTAATGTTTAATCAAAACGGATGACAAAAAGCAGTAGAAATGGAATAAGGACGCATATAACTGGAATGTCAAGAGATATGATATTTGATCGAAATGTTATGTAGGGCCAGTAGCATTGTCCGTTTGGGCGCAATGATTGCATAATTGGCCAAGCAAACTTGTTGAACAGTGACCATTTCAAATTTTTAGAGCATTGAACGTTTCGTTTGCATTAAATACCCGCAAGATATTTGGATGACAATGTTTAGATACAAATCATACCTTGCTTTTTTAACAATATCCGGAGAGCCCTGCTCAGGAAACTTGCTAGTGTGCAAAGATTCAGTAAATGCTTCACATGGCTCTTTGATGACTGAATCATACAAATGTGGAGATTCACAAGGAGGCTTCTCTTCTTTGATTGGTTCAGAGCTTGCATCAAGCGAAAACGTAGGATCACCACGGGTTTCTACGAGGTGCTTCGTGCTGTATGGTAAGTGGTACATTTCCGGCTGGCAAGCGACGTTTGTTCCAAACAGACTCTTCAAAAGCTGATGAAAGGAAACAATTCAAAGCTTTCAATCCTGTCTTATTATCATAAAATACATCGAGATAGCTAGAAAAGTCCAGACTGTAGCAGCAAAAGAATCCAAAGACAAAAGGTTCCTAATTTAGTTAACTGTTTGATTATCAATGAAATTATACATAACCTACTCATTGCCATAGAATAAAAATACAAAAAAAAATATTTTATAAAAACTAAATAAACTGTCAAGACAGACAAACAAGATTATAGCTTTGTTATTCTGGATGTAATACCCAAAAGTGATAAAGTTAAAGAGCATGAATTAATATAAAGGTATTTATAGCAGTTACAGTTTAAAGAAAGCCACTTTGAGAATCATAATATCAACGGATTGGCTAATACTTAAGTTGTTTAACCTTAGCAACCAATGTTTTTAAGATACTGAGACAGCAAAACGAGTAACTGCTTTATAAACACCAAAGTTTCACAAAATCTTCATGTTTTGATCATGAATAATTCTGTTAACAACTAACCTGTTGTACAGCCAAAAATGTTCTTTCGGCATCAATTTTCACACAAGACATCAAGTACTCAAGAAATTCTTCTGCAGTCTAAAAACAATCAAAGAGCAAAAAAACATGATTGGAAAAAGGTCAGAGAGGTGGAATTATTTACATCAAATATAACACTAACTATCATCAAAATGTACTTCGACTCTTATGCTGAATGAAATTGTCAATAATGGCTACTTAATTCAGACCAAAACAATCCTCGTCATTAGTGATTAAAGTTGGACGAAATCGTACTGTGTTACTTGAAGCTATGGAAAACATGAAGTAGGCCTGAGTTTTTTAAGGTTACGCTTCTGGAAGTACTGTAACAAAGAAAACAGTGGTCAGTTCAGGCGACAGTTCCTCAAATATGGGACAGATCGCAAGGCAACGAAGTGATCAGCTATAAACAAAATACAGAACAAAATCACTTTCGTTGTTTTCTATAAGTTTTTGAAGGTTTTTAAAGGCATTAAGAGGTAAGAGGTTTAAAAGCACCCTGTTACATCAATTAAATGTTCAAAGCTGAGAACAGGCTTTGCAGCGCGTTTATGATCGATGAACATTGAAAATTAGCCTTAGTTGCCGATTGGATACGTAACAATAGGTCTATTGTGTAGTCCAGCAAATGAAAAAGTTAAATGACCAGCGAAATGCGTCGGGACATTGTGCCTTTAAGGAGGATTTTGAAGCTAAGCATATTGACCAAAGGAAAGAGAAGGAAAGGAGAGGAAAGGAGAAGAAAGGAGAGGAAAGAAGAGGAAAGGAGAGGAGAGAAAAGGAAAGGGAAGATAAACAATATAAAGACACTTACACTACCAACTTCACTGAAAGATGCCAGCTCTAGCTGCATGCTAAAGGCCTCAAGCACTCCACGTAGAAAGGCACCAAATTTTTCTCCTTTCTTTGACACGGAAGTGACCTGAATGCAATCATATAAAAACATAACTTTCCTTCTCTATCGTTATGTAAAAGTATAACAAGTATAAAAAAACTTTTCGTTTCTTTAAACATTTTTACAGGAATTTTCAAAAAAGATAGAAGGAAGAATTCAAAAGCTATTGATGGCTTTGCTGAAAAGCGCGCATTTTAAAAATGACTGTATGATTGTCGCGTCTGAAGCTTAGGGTATTACACCAGTAAAATAGAAAGATCTCTAAAGGAAAAAATAATATTCCTAAGAAAATATTGAAAAGTTTGACTTCAACAATGGTTGCAATAAAAAAGAAAGTTAAGGGCGATGAGAAACAGTGCGGCGGATAGAATAGCTCACATAGCAAAGGAAAAGGCACAGTAGCACAATAGAAAAATCCAAAAACCTGGTAAGTTTTGAAAGCGCCTTTTGCTGTCTCATAAAGTTTCATCATGTGTGGAATGGTATGAAAATGTCCAAGTTTTTCTGATTTGTCCGATGTTGACGACCCAGCTTCCTGTTTCGAATCTGATCCACCCTGGGGTGTCGTTCCGTCAGAGTTTTTCCTCTGTGCTGATTTTTCTGCGCTGGCTACCGCACTTTGATCAGACACAGCACGCCTGTGTAGGTTTTTGTTTAGAAGGAACTTGCGGGGAGATGTATTAATAGGTGTTCCCGAGGGAGGTTGTGGGCTGGCGCTACCTGCGGCCATGGGGCTCTGCGAAGGAGACCCTGTAGCAGTTGATAATGATCTTTCTTTATCTTTTCCAGTAAAGGCAATTTGAATCTAGCATCAGAAACGTGCTTGATTAGAACCTTTCTCAAACAAGGCTTGAAATATTACGTAACTTGAACAAGGCTTAAAATATTTGTTGTGCCTTAAAGAAAATCTATATCAGCTTTAAAAATTGTTCAAATGTCGTATCTGCTTTAAAAATAACTCCTCAGTTTAAACAAAAATAACAAAACCTCTCTTTCAACGGAGTAATCATTTCAATATTGTGGGTAGCTACATTTCATTTCCTTCCTAGACTTGAGGCCTATGTAAACAATACACACATACCTTGGATGAAGAGGCAGCAGGGTTGCTTTGCTCGATAACATGCATGCAAACACACAGCAATCTGCAGACAGAGCACAGACAACATGATATAAGACAAGATGCAAAAAGCATAGAGAGAGATCAAAAAGTAAGCGCAAACGTTTGTATCTTGCAAGCTTGCCGAGTCCCTACATCAGCTAATTACCTTAAGAGGCGCCTCTAACAGACTTACTAACAGAGTTTGGTTGCATAGGACCAAAGCATTAGAACCTATGTTCGTAGGGGAACTTGAGCATCTATGCGCGAGAGAGGTACAAAAAAAATAATAGGCATACTTGTGTTCTAAAATGAGAGAAACAATTTTCCCGCAATCTGAATGCTTTGTGAAAATAACCGGGTCTTACCTCTCCTTCTGTGCAAGTCACATTTAAAAAGTATGGCAAGCAGCCAAGATAATAAGAAATAATATTATCAAAGCCCGTTTCCTACCTTACTGTATGCTGGAATAGTTTCGAAGCAATTGAATTCAATGTCGTGTCCTTGAATATAGGCCATCTTTCATCCTTTATCGATCCAAACGTTTCGTCGTCTTCGTTGATTCCAGACTCTTTCCGTTCCTGAGCAATCTGGCGGAGAAATGCAGCCGAACTTCCGCAAAGCACATTGACGGCTAGCTGCAAATGAAATATATTGAAAATAACACTACATACTCAGTATTCTTTAGGCGACTCAAAGGAGTGAAACAGATATTCGTTATCATTGTGAGGAATACAAAAAAGAAGTCAGTATCCAAAACAATATAGCCAGCTGTTTTAACAATCAACTTCGTCAAGATCTTAACTGAATAACAAATAAACAGTTTTGGTATGTGGCAGCTAAACAGAGATATGCTTTGCTACGATATATACTTAAGAGGACTCTCTTTGTGAATATATCATCAGCAGAATCCCATTATAACGTACTCGGTTATTACGTACTTTCGGATATAACGTACTGGTGTGCTTGGCCCCGGCAAAAGGTGTGCTTGGTTTTAGTCAATTTTTACTTACCCTCGTTACAACGTACTTTAGATATAACGTACTTAATACGCTGGTCCCTTAAAGTACGCTATAACCGGATTACACTGTACTCAAAAGGCATTTCAAAGCAGGATCAACAAAGGCAGATTTATTGCAGATAAAAACTGTATTCTCCTGACTGTGGTCTTGATTACAAACTTATTATATTGATATATAAATCGTCTATGCTTAGTTATGGAAATCACACAAGGTTGCATCATTGCCACCATCATTATCACCTCGGATTGAAATATTCACAAGCTAGTATCCATGCTGATGATACAAATGTCACGATCGTATCGAATGATGTTGAAGAACTGGTCTTCGAGGCATAGCAGGAATTATTAAACTTCTCGGAGTTGATGAGAATAAATAAGTTAAGTCCTAACCCTGAAAAGACTGAATATATGATAATAGGTCATTCTCGTAAAGTAAATGCATTAAATATCTCGAGTGCGCTCAAACTGAACGGGGCTGATATTAAACGTGTCACGAAGACGAAATCTCTAGGGGTAATTCTGATCGAAAACCTACAGTGGGATGAGCCATACAAAGTTATAAAAAGAAAAGTTTGTGGAGGACTTAGGTCACTAAAACTGTTAAAAAATATAATTCCCCAAAAAAACTTTGCAGTGTCTACTACTCCACTGTCGTAAGTCACCTACGGTATGCTAACGTTATTTGGGGCAGCCTCCCAAAAACTAAACTTGATACCCTCCAACGTCTGCAGGACCGCGCTCGATCAATAATTGAAAGCGCCAAATCAAAGGAAAACTGGACATGTAACTGGTTGAGCGTTGAAAATCTCATTCGATCCGATCGATCGGTCATGACGTACAAGATTATAAAGAAATTAAGCACAGAAAGCCTTTGGGATAAATTTCAGCAAAGATCCTCGCAATCAAACAAGGTACTGAAGGGATCTGAATATTCCTAGAACAAATACAGAGCATGTGAGAAAAGTTTTAACTCCTCTGCTCTTAAAGCCTGGAACGACGTTCCAATTGATATAAGAGAACTCCCGACCATTTGTCGCTTTAAAAAACTAAAGGAGTACTTGAAGAGCTGACAGATTCGTTTATTTAAACACGAACCCCTGGAAGAACAGCATTTTAGATGGAAATTGTATCTCTTTTAGTTAAACAAATGTATTTATACTTAATTAACATTGTATTAGGGTAGCTGAAGGGTTGAATCGTGTAAAAAGAAATATAAAAATCACCTTCAGAAGCTCCTGGTGCGCTTGCAAGTCCAGAGTGATCCAAGATGAGGTGAGAAGCGATAAAGCAACATTCAAAGGACCGGAATATGAAGACATCTCGTCATCAAAAACAAGCTTTCTTGATGGTCCAATAGGACGGAAGCTTCGTTCTTTTGGCACATTTTGTATGGATACTTTGCATTGTGGGTAAAGCTCCCATGCCAACGGTGTCAGTGAGACTGGGTAGGTTTCAGCAAGCAGCGCCATTGCCTGGCAGCATCCATGCTAGAAATTGAGAAGATAATTATGAGACAGAAAATCAATTCTATTTTGGCTGTTCTAATGAAGCAAAGAACAGATATTTCTAACCCTACTTCCACCGATAAATACCAATCCTCAAATACTCTAGTAAGAAAAAGAAATATTGCTTCTTTTTGGTCTCTATATTAAAAGCCAAAGAACCGAAAAACATTCTTGCAAAATTTAATATACCCCAAAAAGCTTGAAGAATATAACAAGATATACGGTATTTCAATGTGTTCTTTCATCTACCTGACTGTTTGAGAAAACACTTATATAATTTTATTTTCGCTAAACTCAGAGCTATGATATTATCTCCTGGTTTACATCTCTGCTTTAGACCCTTAGAATTTGCAATTTAAACTTTTTACATTAAATTCTTAAAAGTTTTTGCTTTTTTCTCGTATCTGATTCCACCTTTTTTACTGTCCACCATTATTTACATCATCTGATACCCTCACTATTCAATTACTAGATTGAAAGCGCTCCCCTCAACCACAGTCTTCAGATTCCCAAATTTTTCATAATTTACCAAAATAAATCAAGATCATTAATCTAGATATATAACTGTATATTTTTTATTGCACTACATAAGTAAATAAATGTAAAAATAACTCACTGTTAGGAACTTTGTAGTTGAAGAGTTAAGTGTTTTGATCAGCTCTCTGACAATGAATGCAAGATTTGCATCAAACAATTTTTTGTATTGGCGAAAAAACGGAATGACTTCTGTAGTTGCCATTTTGCAGTTTACTTTTCCACTAACATCTAGTAAAGAAGAATTATTGCGGAATAAGAAGCTTTTTTGTAATTTTAACATATAAACCAAAAAATATATAAAACTAAGAAATTTTTTTGTAATTTTTGTAACCAAGGAAGACATAAAACTAACATCGACAGATGTCTTGTTGGGGAGATGAGATGCAGCAAGTTCTTGAGTATGAAATGAGTACCCCCGTTTTGGGGCCATTGCACATGCGTATTATATATTCTGAGTCAAAGAGGCATAGAACCCCCCGAGAAAGGAACAAACATAACTTTGCGATCGAATTTCAAAACTAAGTGAGCGGTTGGAGCTTATCATTCACGTTGACATGGGAGTAGCTGAAATATCTTTCGTACTGAAAAACCTGCCTGGATTCTCTGTTGTTTCATGTTTATTGTTTGTATTAAGGCTCACTTTACTTCCAAAGGTAAGCAAAAACATCGAGAATTTCATGACGCGGCCTAAGTGTTTACAGAGAGTAGACATTCGATGTAAACAATACAACCTGATTTTAACTGACCTCCGACACTAGAGCCAGACCAAGGCAACTAAAACAACAGACACTGTACCTTCAATTCAATTATTCAAATTTTTAAGGCGGAAAGCTTCGAGTTTTGATCTTCTCCCTATGACTACATCTACAAAAAGTTCCGAGGAAACCCCTAAATGAAAAATAAACGAAAATACGTCCTTAAATTATATGCGTAAAACTCCTCAGAAATTACTAAAATTACTGTTCTCGACATGTTTGCGAGATCTCGTTGTGTTCCCTGGCTTTTGTTGCTGAGGATGGCCCGGGATTTTGTAGGGATAATTCGTTAGAATACGCATGCGTCCCTGCCCCTCGACGTTGATTGGCTCGAACAAATCATTAAGCCTTTTGTCTCAAACAATAGGAGTGAGATCTCATCTCCCCAACAATGTCAGGTTTCAAAAGCGGAAGTCATGAAAGATTATTCGATGATGGAAAAATCACCGGGGTTTTGTACATTTGTTTGCAATGGTTGATGAAACGTCAATTGCAATAAAGTTGCGTTATAGTGTACCGAAGTGTGACGTCATCAAAAATCTATATATATCACTTCGGTACTCTATTTCAAATCCAGAGTTCATGTTAAATATTTGTGAAGGGAAACATTTTCAACCTGATTAGTTAGAATCTGTGAAATCAGCGCAGCTAGTTGCTATATACACATAAATGCTCAAACAGAAAAAGTAATATCAATTGTTTCTATAGGAATTAGTAGAAAATGTCGATATACCCTGAAATCTCAATGCAAACTTAAGATGGCAAACCTTTAAACTTCAGCACGCGCTGAGATGATGCTTTTTCCAGTGGTTCGCTGTAATCCAAATTTGGCAGCATGCTACAGCACAAAGAAGAAACGATTAAGTGAAATATGAAAGTAGGGATGCTGATGCAAGCCAACAAACTTAATTGTATATATCTAATACTATTGTTCAATTTTTTGGCGGTTCAAAATTTGAGAATGATTTTGCAAAAAGCAAACATACTTAAAGCTTTTTTCGTCTGACACTCCTTAGAGTATAAAACGTCAGAATAAGGTTCCGAAAGTACAAAGTGGAAAATGTATATACCCAGTTGGGATCGAAAATAACCAAAAAGAAGTTCGTTATTTCTCTTGGACCCCAGTGCTGACTTTCCTATAGGCACGCGGTACTGATTGGACAACTACATATACCGGTCACGTGCCCGCGTTTTTGTGATTGGCCTATTTTGTCCAATGTGGCCGAAGCAGGCATTGTGTCAACCCTATCTCGTACCAATGAGGACGATATATGGTTGTGATTGCAAACATTTAAGAAGAGTAAAATTTCAAAGGACGTGACGGTATAGCTGATTTTCCATGAAGCAATAACAAAAAGCTTAATGAAGTTGACGTCTTTAACGAGTCATGATCTCAAACAGGTTTCGTGACTGTAACATATTTTCACTAGAACGTTGATTCAAATGTTGTTTCGAAAATGAATAAATTATGAACGTGAATGTGTGTTTTAAATTATGGTTTTCAAACTCAAAAAAGGTATCAAGTAACCTAAAAATAATTCGTCGTATAACACACAGGAACTCATCAAATCATTGGCTAAGAATACCAGTGACAAAAAACATAATTCAAAAGGCAAAACTCACTTCACAATCGCTTTTGATGCTGCCTGTCTTACTCTTGCATCTTCGTCTGCTAAGAAACCTAAAACTGCCTCGATGCATCTGGTTTGCATCTTAGACATCTATCAAGGATAAAAGTGCTCGAATACATAATCAAAATCTTTGAAAATTTTCAGAGTGATGAAGTTCAGGGAGACAAAGAATTGAAATGCTAAACAATTATGGAGTTTTATGGAGCGTTAATAACACGAGATATCATCCCTGCTATACCTATACGAGGCTAAATAATTGTGAAAGCGCAAATAGATTATAGTTGTGCCTTAAAATTAATAAATTAACATATCTTTAAGCCTTTGCTATTTCGGAAATGTTGCTTCAATAACCTCGCTACAGTTGCTATACTACATTACAGTTGGTTATCGGAAAACATAAGATATGGAAGTAGGAGTGTTTAAAGACTGGAATGTTGGGACTATGAACTGCTATCAGGCTTTAGAAATACGAACAAGGGCTACATTTAGTGTGAGGCTGGATGATTGCAAGGTCCCAGCAACGCTAAAAGCATGTTGGGTTCCTTCTTTCAATTTCGGTAATATGAGATAGCAGCAAAATAATAATTATTCAAATTACCATTACAGTATCCTTTTAATATTCTAAATTTTTATTTTGCAACTGAGGTGTACACACTACTGATATCAAACTAAAAAAACTAGCCGCACCATGTTTTTCTACCCTTGCAATAACCTTGCGCCCTACCCTATCCCTTAAATGCATACCCTTCGCTTACCAATAGCTATTCAACAAATGGTCCGATTCTTGCTGCAGCCATCTTGAAAATATATAGGGCAAACACACCTTACAAATCATTTTTGTGATTGTAAACATTGCAGTAAATTGTAAAGCATTGTAAACCCATTTCACTTACTCTGTAGCCTGTGAAGGCATTCATCCCATGTTGCTGTAAATACGTTGCTTCAACTAAATTCACCAGTCTGTTTTAAAGAAAAAATAAAAAGGATAGGCTACAATAACAACATAATGAAAAGCTAATCGCGGTTCAAAATGCCTTAAAACATTGTAAACAGGAGATGCAAATTTTGTTAAAATTTTTATAACAAGTAAACTTGAGTAATAACTAAAATGGCATTGCAGTACAGCATTGCAACCTCTTGAAACAACTTTAAAACATTTTACAATGTTAAGGAAAAATCTTTCCATAATCTTAAACAACTAAAAAAGTAACGGCAAAAGGAATGGTGTGACATTAATTTGATGTTGTAGCGGACATTCTTTTTAAATTGCAGCACTTCTACCAGATTCTTCAATTTGTGTTACAAAATAATAACCATTTTTCAAGCCCCTCTCTCAGTCTAGCCAATGATCGGCTAAGCTTCCAAATTGGAAATAATGCATCTTTTTCTTATTTAGTCAAATGCATATTTATCAGGTCACCCTCTTGTACGAATTATCCAGTGTAAGAAATCTTTTTCTTGCTTCTCTCAAAACGCCCTCAAATTAATGTGTTATCTCTCAACTGTTCAAACTTACCTGTAATCAAGCAAGGCAAACAACTCTAATATTTCAACCTGATATCAAAAAGAAAATTATATTCAGTTATCGTTGATTAGGGTAAGCTACAAACATTGCTGGCACGTGCTTTTTTCTTTCTAATATTTCATGGTTTCAGAAATATACTCATTTACAAAAGCACATTTTAACAAAAACATAGTTAGCTGAGACAATGCTTGAACGCACTTTTATATTTCCAATAACTACAGCCAAATCGAGGGTGCATACCGACGTTTACTTTTCGTATTACAAGCGGGTTTTACCATTAAATTCTACTTAGTTCGAGGAAAATTATAAACAACAGCTTTAAAAAGGGAATAAGACAAAGAGCTACATTTTCACAAAGAACATTAAATTCATGGCACTGAAATTTAATTTAAATTTATGCCCTTAAATTGAAAAAAAAGTTGCTAATCAAAAATAACGCTGTTAGCGATTCATGAATAGAATTTTGAGTCATTTTTCCTTTAAAACCCATTCAATTTGGGATTCATAAGAATTCTCCAATGGCAACATATTCCAGAATTTCAGACAAAAAGGTAAGCATTTATTGGAACGTTTATATCAACACTTACTTTCAATAGCCAATAAGAGTTGTCTTTCAATGTCAATATTTTCAGCATAATTTCGTATGCAAAATGATGATAATCACTTTCAAACAACTGATTTATAAATTCCTTGAAAAGATAAGATAGATTTTTATTGAAAAAAGAAGTGGGAAGCTTCGTATTGAACGTATAGATTGTGATGTAAAGCAAAGACCATTTTTTAAAAAGAGTAGAGCACCTAGCTGTATAAGTAACATTCAGGCAGTCTTCGTAGAAAGATATTTTCAACATCAAGAAACATCAGCACACAAAATAAGTCTATATCACGTTTTATTCCTAAGAGGTCTTTGTGTTATAATACAAAATAAATGTATGGAAGACAAATATCGAAAGATTTTGGAGAGAACTTTATTAAAGCTTCGAAATAAAATCCTAATTCTGATTATTGAATTAAAAATCATTAAAGAAAGAGACTGATACAAAGTATTCATTGAGCAATGATAAAAAGATTGAAAATTGATAACAAAAGCATCAGTTTCGAAGAATAAATTCATTAAACAGAAATTTAGCTCTGAATTTTGATATCAAGGATTTCTAAAACAACTGTATATAGAGTCACATACTTAGATTCAATAATGAACCTATGTCACAAAAAAAATATACAGGAGACAAATTGATAAGAAAAAAGTTCACTCAAATAGAGCAAAGCAAATAGCTAGCTACAATTTACTGATTTAAAACAGTTGCTTCTCAACCTACCTTCACAGAGGAGCAAGTCATCTTGAGTGAAATTGAAGACTCGTCATCCAAAATCTTTTTCAATATGTCAACAACAATATCAATTGGCAGTGGATCTGAAGTGGAAATACAGGGATGCAAGGTATAAAGATTGCAGCAAATGGCATGAATTGTAGCAAAAAGTAGTTTTACGTAACATAAGAGGTTTGAAATGCCTTTGTCGCCAGCAATAAACATATTACAGAGTTCGAAAACGACAAAAGGGTCAACTACAAATAGGCTGAAATTTAGATTCTTAAAACAAAAAAATAATGAAAAGAAATATTGTACAAACTACAAAGCCAATTTCACTAAAAGAAAGACCAAAAGCGTTTCCACTTACACTCGAATAATTACTGTACAAATAACAAATACTCAAGATAGATTCAAACATCATCATATCATTTCAAAAGGATCTAACCTGTTGAGTACTTCTTAGCATTTGTGTCTGCCCAATCATCATATGTTCCACTGAGAGATAAAAATGGTTATTTTGGAAAGCCTGGTTATTTTAGAGGCTGCACCCACTGAAGCAACCTTACTTAACGTATGAAAACCTTACCGTCTGAAGAGCATCTCAGAATACAGAGAAGAGATAAGAAAGGTAATATGAAAATAATTTATATATTTATCAAAACTTAAGACGAGTTACCAGAGGTTTCCGGTAATCCAAAAAATTATGAACTATACCTATTCAGGTATAGACAAAGTTTTGTTTCCAATTATAGTCTACCAAAAGTAACATTAATATATAACTACAAAATCTACCCAGCTTTTGTTGACGACCAGCACGATTCAAAGGTAGATAGAAGTTGTGTTAAGGTGATGTTTTATGGTTGAAGAGCATGTGATTTTTGAAAAACAGTGGATCGCTGGTCCTTATGCACAAATATGAAAAGAACATCAAATGTCATACCCAGACTGGCATAAAGCAGCTTTAATATACAACCCAAGGACGTTTGCAATCATTCCTCTGATCTGCTGATCAGGGTGATCAGCGAACAAGAAGCAGTCTCTAACACACTGGCCACTGCCATCTTCAGATTCAGCGTCGTCGTTGCTAGCCTTCTCTTCCGCATCGTCAGGCAGCACTCTTGCAAGGAGTGATTCTGGGTACATTGCTAGTGCGTGGCTCAGACAATGCAACGCAAGTGATTTGACACTAACACGTGCCCTCGAATCAGAAACCAGTTTACCTACAGTTCCAGTCAAAAGGAACGAACACATCAATCGCACGCAGTGAAGCAAAGGTACGCCCAAACAGGCAATGGCATCGATGTTAAAATATTTCTCGACAGCTTGTTTGGCATCATAACTTGTAATTGACATTAATCGTTCCATTTCTTCTAAGTCTACTTCCTCATTTTCGTTTTCAGGTATGTCGCTAACGGAACTGTTACTAGTCAGCCTTCTTGCATTAGTGACATCCTTCTCATCGATGTTGACGTACCCTCCATCCGTATAACTACTCGGCAATGTCAGGCCGTCTTCTTCTAGTTCTTCATCCTCCACCACTTCACTGACACTATCGTTATCGCTGACGCTAGACATCTCAGCACATTGTTCTATGGCCCCCGATATTTCATTTAAATCACCAACGGCCGAATCTTTAGAGCGAGTGTTACTCTCGATCGACAAATCGCTGAGTTGATCCTGGATTCTACCGTCACCGCTCTGCGATTCCTCTTCCAGTCCAGAATCATTAGCCTCGCTTCCAAGCAAATCAAGATGCATCTCACTTCCAAGGGTACCTTGAGAGGCAAAGATTTAGAACAGCATTATATGACAAGGATTGGAAATCAGGATTCAGAGTTGTGTATGTACAAGAAACAAACGTCTGCTCCTGTGCATAATGCGAAACCTCGGGTATATTTGGAGAAATATTAGCAGACTAGGCAAAGAATGGTATCCTAGAGTCGTTTACTGTTGCTATTTGCTCAGTTCTAATTGACCTCTGAAAAGAGTCTTCTCTGTCAAAATCTATAGCAAAATACAAACGCTTTTGGGTGTAAAACAGGACAGTTTTGAACTGCTAAACTGAGTTTCACGTTTAATATGATCATCAATGAAAACACTGTCTCACGGCATCAAAATCACACATCGGTTAACAGAAAACATTGTGATGAGAAAATGTATACATGGGGGTTTCAAGCTCTGGTATAAAACACAGGACGTTCTAAATTGCGAATCCGAGTTTCACGCTTAAAGCAAACATCAGGCAACTGCCGGTTCTATACATCAAACATATGATCCACCTGTAAAAAAGCAATCTTCATAACATGAAGGTTTCACAACACACCTGAGATTGTTGCGCTTGCATTTGTTACGGTGGGAGAGATACCCCTTGGAGACAGAAGAACTGCCATTAGGCAGTGTGGCCTTGTTTGAAGGATTTGATTCAGGCACTCCAATGCCGCATTCACGACATTGTGATCCGAATGTTTAGTACAGAACATCGTTACTTCATACACCTGCAACGGGAAGCATTGGAGGACATTTCTCAACCGGCAGGACGTGTCAATACAGAAAGCTATTTAAGGCTGAATCATAAGGCACAGAAATTTTTGAGAATCATTTTATGTGATTTATTAGAATGCTCAAGATAATAGTTTGACTTTGATTGGACTAGCTGTAATATTTGCCCAAATCTTTGAGTAAATAAGAATTTTTATAAAATCTTTCACAAATGACTGATTAAACGTATAACAATTTCATTTTAGAGCTCATATAAATTGACAAAATCTAAATTATAGTAACTATCAGTTGTATCTTACACGAGGGGTAGTTGTTCCAAGGGTATGTGCCTGATTTACATACCCCTTTTTATGTACGAAGAATGAGTACATGAAGGGGGGATTTTGCTCGGCTCGATGGGTATCCATATATATATATATATATATATATATGTAGAATTGTTGCCAATTGTGTAACAATGGATCGGCATTTTGATGAGTTCAACAATGGAAACATAGAAGCCGAATTCAAAGGCGGGAGACAATCGAAACAATGCAGGCATAGAATTCCAAAATCAAAGGATTTTCCCAATTTTCCCAAACGAACAATCGAGAATCGTGAGTTTCCCGATTAAGTGGGCAATTGAGGTTCGCTAATCGACACTTAGGTCTATAATCGTGCTATTAAATTGGGTTCGGCTGCTAGCCTGAGATCCCCTTTGTGGTCATCCTCTTAGATTCGACCAATCACCTTTAGTTTTGCTCGTGACGTTATGCAGTTAAAATTGGTTCTGCACGTGCATGTTGAACGGTAGCCAGAATAGATCAGAAACTTCTCGTAATCGAGAATGGTGCTTTCATCCTGTCAAGCGTCAACGTAATTAGACGTATAATTTGCAATTTGCTATGTAGGATACAAAAGAAAGTGCGGGAATATGCGATTTCACGAGTTTCTGCAAGAATTAACTTTCATGCATGAGTCGTGGAAAATATATTGTAAGTGTTTCAAATCTGTTTAGTTTTTCGCAAGTTTTGCAAAGTCGGTGAAAGTTATTCGAAGATTTCCAGGCTTTGCGAAATTGTCATAAAATGCTTGCAGGGACTTTTCAATTTTCTCTGGGGTTGATCCAAAATTCATTCGAAATTTTTCAGACCCCATACTTTTTTTTTAAAGAAAGGGTCAATATGCTGGATAAGATAGTTTGGTGCAGGAATAACGTAAAAAAAAATAGAAATTTGGATCGTGTGAGGTCAGACCAACAGTTACGGGAATAATCAATTAATAATCTTGGGATCTATGACTACATTTCTTCATCAAATAGTTGAATTGCCGAGTTGAAGAAATCTTTGCACTCGCAACTAGGAAGTTTACGAAATTAAAAGTTTGGCTGCTCACAATTACGTACGAAAGATTCCCCTACGTAATCAAGTAATTGCACTGCCGCGAGATCACTATGCTGGAACCGTTTTGTCAGCGCGGGTCGTTAGGGATCGTTAGGCACGCATCGATTTCTCCTTCTTGCAAAGGTTGATAGTGGAATTCAAAGATCGGGTTTGGTAAACTTGCTGCGTCATAGCATTCCCCGCTGTTTATCAAGAAAGTGTAAATCTGCGAAACGCATTTTGATAAAGCAACCGAATAAGAATAATTATTCGTGTTATGTTATCAAGCAAAAAATGTCCTTCGTCAAATAAAAAAACAGATTCCCAGTTAGGTTTCACTCACAGAGCCCCAATAAATGCTGGAATCTTCGTTGTCGTCATCATTGTCATCGTCGTCATCATAATCATCATCATCAATCATCATCATCATCATTGTCATCGTCGTCATCATAATCATCATCATCAATCATTATCATCATCAACAATCATCAATCATCATCAATCATTATCATCATCATCATCAATCAACATCATCATAATCATTATAATCATCCTCATCAATCATGATCGTCATCATCATCATCAATCATCATCATCATCATCATCATCATCAATCATCATCATAATCATCATCATCGATCATCATCATCATCATTGTCATCGTCGTCATCATAATCATCATCATCAATCATCATCATCATCATTGTCATTGTCGTCATCATAATCATCATCATCAATCATTATCATCATCAACAATCATCAACCATCATAATCATCATCATAATCATTATAATCATCCTCATCAATCATGATCGTCATCATCATCATCATCATCATCATCATCATCATCATCGTCATCATCATCATCCGTTTTGTCCACTTCGCCAATTCATAATATCGAAGTACCATTCCTCCACATTCTTCGTACATTGCAAAAGCCGTGCTATTTTTTCATAACGATGTGCTTCGAAAATAATCTTCAACTTGTGTTTAATATTGAGATACAAGATATCTTTTTCAATCAATGTTTTAGTAGAGTTTACCAGTTAAACCTTTGTAAGAAAAATAACTCCACAAAGTCTATATTGGGATAAAGATACGCACTTCTGTATGAAATTTCAATATTTTAATAGCGATAAGCATCATAATGATATCAATTCGACTACTACATCAAATCGAACTTAAAATAATTCAACACCTAAGGGTAAAAATGAAAAGTGAAATGCAAAAATAAAATATGCAAAAAATTAAAAATAAAAAATACTCGTTGATGGTACCATTATTGGCCTTTCTCCCTTCCACAATACCCTATTCAGGTATAAACTTTTTCCAAAGTGGGTTTGTAGGGTAAATTATTTTATTCTCCGTACACTTAACGAAAACAATTCTACCAATACCACAGAAAGTTTACCTTAAGCAATTTGGCCTCATCGACGATATCTGAGACAGGCTCTTTATCCTCCGAGTAAGGGGTCTTCACACCAAAGCTCCCTTTCATGGTGTCCAGACTGCTGTCTTCACCTCCAACGTTTGGAATTATCTGTCTAAAAGATAGCAACACCCCAAGCAGGGTTGCTGGTGGCAAATTCTCAGTTAATGGAACAACCATGCCTGAAAAAAGCAAATCATTGCTAGATAAGATGAGAATGTAATTTCATTTGGCAGGGCAGCTGGACAGAGTTCTTCTCAAAGTAAGAACGGTACATCATGTGTGTACACAGGTAAAAATATTTCAATTATAGATCAATGCAAGCTACAGGATAAAAATCTTACCTAGAAGGACATTCAAAAGCCAGGCATAAAAACGATTGGGATTTCTGGAATTCAGGCAAATGCAGTTCAGAGCAGACGAAGATGTCCTTCGCTTCATGGCAGATTCCGACTTTAGGTTGGGAATGAATGATTTCAATAGAATCTGCAATAGATAAAAGCTATATTGTAAATCAAATTGCATCTTTAAGATCAAAGTTAACAGTTTATAACGTATAAAGGACACCTGCTATTTACATAGAGGCTAAAAACTAATAAGTCACCCTATGTACACAGATAGAAATTAACAGGAGACATCCACATAGTGGCCTTTCTTCATTTAGTGTTTTCCTTCCCTTGGCATATTATATCAGTACATGTATATCAATAGTCAATTGACTGTTTAAAGAAGTAAACAAAAGTTCAATAGCTTCTTGATACATATCTTTTGAATAGGGCATATAAAAATACCTTAATATCAACTTCTCTCATGAACTTTCCGAGCACAGGGCACATCTTTGACATAAGAATACCAAGAGTCTCCTACATTGAAAAGGAAAACTTATGAAAGAATTGCTTTTGAAATCGAATTTGAATGGATCAAAATTTCGATGCATAGACAAGAAAAAGATTTTACGAGAATCTTACCTAAGAAGAATTTACGACAATGGACTTTATTAGTATTAATAAATACAGTATTTTATACTACAGGCCTCAGTAGAATAAAACCCCTTTTATTTTCCGCCACAATTACACCAACTTTTTCTATTAGGCAACCATTAGTCAAGAAATCGTTTCCAAGTGTAACCTGGTCTCGATTCTCATTGTTTCTTTCCTTCTTTCTACTCTCTCTATAAACCATTACACGCCAGCTGCAAAATCCAAACAGCTACCAAATTTGTGACTCTAGAATCTAGCCTTCTAGCATAATCTTGACAACATTTACCCAGACTTGTAGATACCAGAAAGTATCAGAAAAATCATCCAAAAGGACTTAGCTTTGCGGATTAAAAGAAAGAACTATCTCACAACTCATGAGAACAACTGCAGTCGTGAAAAAGTTTTCTAAAATGAATGAGAAAATTTTTTTATCTTAGATAACAACATGTGTTTCCATTTTTCTATTTGGCATTGCTATTTTGTTCCATTCTGTAGTTTGTATTTAGATCTACTTGTCATTGAAACTCACCTGTATTAATGAATTTATATACAGAGTAATAAAAATCATAGCTTTTGAAAATGGTTACCTGCACTTGGTCCTCTTCACGTTTGGCAATTTTGACAATACAAGGAAGGAGATTTGCAAGGTATGGCCTGAAATGCAGGGATTATAAATCTTTTAAAAAATGTGAAATTCATATATTTTCTTAACATATTCTTTGCCCATCTGTACCATGGTTGAAATCAAAATCTCACCATTTACAATTGTAGATGAATGACTTGTCAATATTGTTACATTCAGAATAACTTCATGAGATATAGCAAAGAATTGCATTTCAGATGATGAAACTTCATTAAAATTATGTCATAAATATCAAATACCTGCATTTTTGAGGCCTAATTGTGTGGCATGTTTCTGCAAACCTTTGCATTGCCGCTCTAAGAGACTTTGCACTACCATTCTGAAACCACAAAATGACCGATATAAATATTTCCTTGTAGAATGAACTGCAAATAAAGTTCTTTTGAAACTTAATATTTTTAGTGCATGCAATGGTTTATATGTCAGATCACACACATGTTACAAGTCCAATGCTTCTGTGATAGCAATCTTATAAAATCTTTACAATATAAAATCTTCACGACTTGAAATCTAACACCTACACATCATCAAAATCTTACTGGAAGTAATATATTTTGAAAAATAACTTCCATGAAATGTTTTACAACATCTGGGTAAAAAGATTATCTTGTTTTGTTTCCAAAACTTACACCTATAGAGAGATATCTATATCATATAACTCTTTAATGTCTTACCTTCTTTATCTCTTTGTAAAACTCAACTTGGATTCTACCAATATTTGACTCCAAAAATGCCTAGAGAGATGGAAAGTGACACTAAAATAAATCATAAGAAAACACAATTGAAATAGCTTACATTAGTTCTTCACAACTTGCAGAATCAATCCTCAACATCCATTCTCTAGTCTAACTTGTAACTTATTCTCTAAATGTAAATGTTAATAATTGGCATTTCATCTACACAAGGTGTTTCCAGTTAAATGCACCAACCTAAAGCATCCTCCAACATTTTCGAAGTTTTTGTCCCCCAGGAACCAAGCAGGTCCCACACTTCAAATTTGAAAGTGGGGGGGGCCCAAGGCTAGCAAAAGTAGAAATAAATGCTTCTTTCCCCATCTATAGCAGCTTTAAAACTACTTGCTTTGCAAAAAGTGGGGGGCATGGCCTTGCCATATACTACAAAGTCATAATATACACTTGATTTAAAGTTCTTTAAAATTGACATTGAAACCTTAAGAGTTCATAAACCTTTTCATGTTTTCTTGTGTAGGTTTTCCAACCTTTTGATAATAGCATAAGATTTCCAACATTGATAAAGCATATTTTTCTATTAAGTTTGTTGATGAACCAAAATGAAATCAATCATGAAACATGGTGCAATTTCGAACTTGGCATAAAATTAGTGTTTTCATTTGATCAACATAAACTAAAAATTTTGAATCAATTATGAATGTATTTGTGAGACATTGGAATTTTTACCAATTCGCTAAATATTTAATGAATAGCTGCAATAAAATACCTAATTGAAACACAGACAGAATTTGATGATCAGGATAATCATTAGCACAATCTCATGTTTTCGGGTAACTCACCTTAATTATTTTATTGAGGGCCTCTCCACCCATAAGTCTAACATCCGCATCTTGGTCATCGCATGCTTGAAAAAGTAATTCTATGGATGCTGATAGCAGGCTTGGAAAAGCCTGTGAGTCCCTGTGTTCAATGAAAACATGATGATTGAAAGTTAGGGCATTTGACTAACATTTTTGCAAGCAACAACTAAGCTTTGAAACTGGATAAAAACAGTTTTTGATGTGTTCCTAATCCTGTGCTCTGAAGGCCACTACTTTTTCTTGCTTTTTATTCAATCATCAATTCTAGAACACTGTTTAGTAAAAACATATATTAGATTTGTTTCGTCATTCTGGCTGCCTGGCTGGTATGAATTTAACTTGAAAACTAAATAGATGGACTACACATGGCCTGGTAGCAGGCCTAGTTGTTTAAGGAGAGCCATAGATTTTCTTCCCTTCCAAGCTCTCTACAAATGCTGGAGGGGAGCTACAGATTGCACTCCTCAAAATCAACTTTTCCAATGCTTCTATTCTTGTCTATCTGCAAATAGATCACTATAAATTACTTAGAGAGCTACTATTTACTGTTCTCTTGCTAAGTCTTATGACCAGGCCTGCCTAGTAGGTATCAAACTAGTATATCATATGGAAAATTATAAAAACATGATTTGGATGTTAACAATAAATCAAAAGTATGGGTATAGGTGCAAATTATGCAGAATATCTCTGGGGTGAAATCTGCTGGGCAAAATTTATGTTGAAACTAAACAGTATAAACTTGCATCAGATTGAAAGTATCATCATCACCATGCTTTACAGTTGAATTTTGATTAACTTTTTTCTAAAAGAACTGATGTCAAATAAGCAGGCAGTCCAAGTGCATACATGATCACTTGCTACAAATATATTTTTACAGATAATTACCAAATAAAATTAATTGAAACAGAAGTTCAATTTACTAATTTTTGATAAAGTTTGCATGCAAATCAGTTTTGTAGAAGCAAAGGATTACAAAAAATCAATTTTAGAAATGTTTAGGAAAGTTAAATTCAAGACTTTCTTTGCATATTTACCTGATTGACTGGAAGGGTAAAAAATCTGCAATGGTTGTACATAGATTTATTCTATCTTTTGAAGACAAAAGGAAATCTTTCTTCCTGAAATAAAAAATCTGGCTATCAGGTATGCCCAAAATAATGAAATAAGAAAGGTTTCAAATTCAGATGCAAATATGAAAATGCTATAGTCAAACACTCGAAAAGCAAAAAAACATCGTCATAGAAAAAATATATGATACAAATCTCAAATTTTATGAAGAGGAACTACATACAAGGAGGCGGCTACCCAGATTATAAAGCTAGCTCTTTCACTTGCTACAAAAAAATCATAATTTGACACTGGATATCACTTTCTGTTGTGCTGCACATTTTGAAATGTTAATGTTAATGCAAACTAAATTGTGTCAAAACTTGCCTTTGGGCTGAAGGACTGCTGTCAGACGACCCACCAGCCAGCTGACTGACAGCATACACTTGATTATAGTGGCCTCTGAGGACCTCGAAGGTCTTAAGAAGCTTCTCAGTCATCACTGCCGATAGTTTAACGACATATTTTTCCGTGTATTGTTGCTTTAAACACGCCTATCTTTCAAACATTCTTCCGCCATCTTCTTCTCTTACTTCAAGATCAAGTTGCTGTTGTTGTTCTTAATGAAACTTTAGACCGCGGAAAAGTTCAAAGAGAAATTTCCCTCTTTTGCTGCCAAATTCTATTTCAGGGTGTGGTCATCAAGTTTTCCTTAGTTTTCAAAAAGGTATAACTCTGTCGATTAGTTGGAGGGTCATGGTAGCCAACCTTCTGATAGAAGATGGTACCTGATGATAATGAAATAAATTCTCAATTATAAACAAGGCAGTGACCTCCGTATGGAAGATTGGGGTTGTTTATGAGCCTTTATGGTAGTTATAACGATAAGAGACTAGACTAGTTCTGAATTGTAAAAAGATTCGGGTCATAGCAAAATGAAAGACTATCTTATAGCTGGATTTTATCTCGGGCCTGACAAATGACCGTGACTAGACTGATAGTTATAAAACAGATATTAACACATGAGACGCTAAAAACTGATAATTTCTACACATGTTCACAAATATCCTATGTAATTTGCAGCTTGTTTTGGCAAACACTCAATCCCTCCGGGGGGGGGGGTGTAACTAAACCTAATTTTGGACGGAGACGCGCCATTTTGGTTAAAAATTTGGATCCATAATTCTGCACATGTCTGAAAAATGTGACCCATAATTCCACAAACGTGATGAAAGCTATAACCAAAATTCCGCAAAGAAAATAACATTTTTAAAGCACAACAAAATCAACAAACATATTTTGAAAGTTATTTGCCCTAAACTCTCAATATTACTCATATTTCGTACTTTCATTTGTAACTGCACATTCATTTTGTTAATACTAAATCTTGAAAATGGCTTTGAAAAAAGCAAACATTTTGAGTCATACGCTTTTCGTCTGATTCTCTTCAGAGTATAAAACGACAGAACATAGATCAAATACGCTAGGAAATATATATACCCAGTTGTGGATCTAGGTAGGCCAATCAGAAACACGAGCATATGACTGTATAGGTTGACCAATCAGTGCCGCTTGCCTATAGAGAATGTTACCAATGGAGTCTTAAGGTGAAAACGAACTCTTTTTATCTACACAGTAGCGGTTTTTCGTGCTTATGTAGATAGATTCCAAAGCTGCTAGGTGGAACGGCGATCTGGCTTTACCAATAATCCGAAACATAAAGCGTATGACTCAAACTGTTTGTTTTTTTCAAAGCCATTTTCAAGTTTTGTACCACCAAAAGATGTTTGAATACTAAATCTCCCTCCTAATAATTTTTCAACAGTATCCCAAAATGGTAGGCATACTTCTGCATGTTTCTTCAAATGGTACCCATAGTTCCGCATATATTTCAAAACTGATACCGATAATTCCGCATTCAGGAAAAAGGTATCCCTAAATAATGGCACGTGCCCGTACCTTCAAACATGTTAGGGTATCCACTTTTGTCTTCCACATCCACATTTGCAGCAGCTTTTTGTTATGTTTCTGATTCTGATTGTTTTTGTTTGGTTTGTACTGAAAACACATATACGAAATCACTCCTGCTGCAAAACAAATTGATTCAAACCATTCTCCTGACATTTCTTGAAATTCAAGATTGATTTGAGAAATTTCCCTTTCTGTTTAAGGAACTCGAAGTAATAGGCAAGTCCACTTGTAACGTTTTTAACATACAAATGGACATCATTTAACAACCTATTAACCCTTGCATGGTACCCAGCAATATCCACATATGTGCACCTCATGAAATTTGACAGCTTCTAAAGCAAAAGAACCGTCACGTTGATTTCTTTTCGCTTGCAAATGCAAAACTTATATTTTCACATATCTTTAAAGCATCTATTTTGCACTTAGAACGTAGTATGGTTAGCAAGGTTGCAAGGTGCATTAACGTCGATTTTTTTCTGTTTAAGCGCTTCACCCAAGAGTCCCTCCCTTTCTACTGATATTTAGGAAACGAAGATAAACTCAAACAATAAAAGCGATATACAACACAAAGAACGTGCATCAATATCATAACACAATTAATGAAGGCATCAACTATGATACTTCAATAGGCTGGGTGCTTGGTTCATTATTGGTCTTTTCTCGCTGTAAACTAATAAGCGTACTACTGGCTTCCGCAAGTTCTGTAATTGCAACTCTTCCTCTTTGCTTCACGTATCTGGCCACATCTTCCAACTCTTGTTGCGAAATGTATATGAATTTGCCCCTGTCATCCATAACGCCTTCAAAAAATGAAGCAAAAACCTTTTTCAGAAAAAAGGTCAAGAACTTATGACAAGCATAATAAAAGAAGTTGAGTAAAGATTTAAGGTCACGAAGACTAAAGATTTGAGTTGAAAAAATTACAAGTAAAAAGCAAGAGTGATTATGGAGATGGCTTTGAAGTAGATTACGCCTTGCTAAAAGTAGATTCAATTGAGGAAGAAGCATTCCCAATACCACCCACAATTTTCATTATATAAACGACAAATTTTCCTTCATATGCAAGTGCTTAGTTAATTCAATCTGTGTTTATGTTAACTGATTATTTATTTATTTGATTCGATAAATTCATTTGAATCACGTTTTTCTACTTTATACCCAATTTATATATACACTGCGTATATGAGAAAATTCGAGATACCTCAAGTCCAATTGACAGAAACTAAGAAGGATTTTACTTTCTAAACTCCCTTATAGAAGTTAACTCTTGTTTAGTTTCTTAATATTTTACAAGAAGCACTGTTTCAATTTAATCAAAGTATGCTGCTCTTAAGAAGCATACACCGTAAGTCTTCCAAAAAAGCCCCCTCGAATAAGCCACATCCTGAAGTAATTCTTGTGAAATAAGCCCCCACCCTCAAGTAAGCTCCCACGGGCTTAGTATTGCCTCGACATACATCTGCATTTTTAATCATACTGGCCAGCCTCTAATACAGGAAGAAAATTAACCCTGGTAATATTTTTAACTGTTGCTGACTAAGCCCCCCTTCGAACAAACCCCTTCGAATAGCCCCCATCCCAAAATACCTTTTATGAAATAAGCCCCCTGGGCCTTCTCGAGGACATACGGTATGAATGCTTATATGGTTCTTTGCTTCATATAGAGAGCCATAACCTCTAACTTCTGTTGCTCATCTTCGTGATCATCGGTCAAGAAATGGTAAATATTTCAATCTGTATCTAATTAATACTTTTTGGGAAACAGAATATTACAAAGCTGACTTATTCTAAAAATAACCCGTTACCTGTCAACCTGCCAAGCTCTAGCAGATCATCTACTCTCTTAATTGCCTCTTGAACTCTTAAATCAAATTGTGCAGCCAGCTCTTCAAGCATTACTACTTTCTTTTCCTGAAAAAATCCCAATTGGCACTCACCATAAAACTTTTTAAATAATTCTACGTTACTCGTTTACGCTTGGATTCTAACCATTGAAAAATCAAAAGAGCGATCGACATTGCAAATTCTTTTTAATAACTTTGAAGAAATTTATTAAATCTGCCATACTTAATCTATAAAAGAAATAATACTTTTGGCAAAAAAATTGCAAAGACGAATGCATTTCACCAAGGGGTTGCCAAATACAAAAATTACTTAAGAACACATTTATCTCTCTTAACAAAAATAGGTTACTCAAATCGTGGCTGATGCAAAAAAGTAAAGAATATTCAAACGACAGTGGGGCATCCCAGTTTAATGAAGACAATGATATCTCTAATCTCCAAAAAATCTTTGATTCTAGTTAATAAGTTGAATCAATCTTTGTGATAAAAGATAAAAAATACCTTGATAAAATCGATGAACTCTTGAAGAAGTGCTTGGGACTAAAATCAAGAAAAAGCAAAATTTATTTACAATGCATGTTTAGGGTGACCAGGAGAACAACCACTGCTAGTGTAAATGGAAGAGCGAGCCGTGACAGTTTTATAACGGTTCTAAACTTGCATCGGACAGTGTAAAGAGGGTTGAAGTGGGAAAATATTTCAACATAGGTCACTAGAGCATGTGGAACAACAGAAATAATGGCCTGGAGGTCCCATGAATTTATTAGATTAATAGACCAAGGGAGTGTGCTGAAGAAGGAGAGCATACAATTTAGCACACATTGTAAAAAATAGCATTTCGCTTACTTACTTCAGTAAAAAATGTGCAGAGCCTTTATCTGGAGGCCTCTGATAGGTGAGGGAACAGGGAACATATTTACATACGATACACAAAAACCATTAAAAATACAATACAGCACATGAAAAACTTTGCATCAGGAAAGTGCCAGAAATTTCAATCAAGTACTCTTCATGAGCAAAATACTTGTTTTCATCAAAACATCTTCTAAAAATAAGACAATATAGGGTATAAACCTCTTGCTCAGATAATACGCCAGATTCACCCTCTTCTTCTACAGTAAATGCTTGCTTCAAGAGAAGATATTCTTCATGCTCCTTCCTCTCTTGCTCTTCTTTCAAAAGTCTTTCTTCTTCTTTCTATAACATAAAAGTAAGGCAAATTAGATAATGGCTTTGAAAAAAGCAAACATTTTACAACATACTTAAAGCTTTTTCGTCTGACACTCCTTCAGAGCATAAAACGTCAGAATAGGTTCCGAAAAAACACGTTTGAAAAATATATACCCAGTTGTGGATCGAAATAGGCCAATCAGAAAAACGCAAGCACAAGACCGGTATAGCTGACCAATCAGTGCCGCGAGCCTAAAGAAAAATTACCAATGGAGTCCAAGAGAGAAAACGAACTCCTTTTGTCTACACAATGGCGG